TGCATCTTTTCTCTGAACACTCAGCAGGTGCTGACTCTACTACTGCTTGGAGGGTATAAAGACAAACCCGTCACATATAAAACCAGTATGGCAACTGCAACAGCCTCAACTTCATATTTCACCAGCAGCAGAAGAAAGCACGTGCAGTACCTAGACGGGGCAATGTACTGTCAAACCTTGGGTGAGAACCTTCTTCCCTCAGCCAGGGCATTGAAAATGAGTCATGGACTCATTTTCCAGCATGACAATGACCCAAAACACACGGCCAAGGCAACAAAGGAGTGGCTCAAGAAGAAGCACATTAAGGTCCTGAAGTGGCCTAGCCAGTCTCCAGACCTTGATCCGACTGAAAATCTGTGGAGGGAGCTGAAAGTTCAAGTTGCCAAACATCAGCCATTAAACCTTAATGACTTGGAGAGGATCTGCCAAGAGGAGTGGGCCAAAATCCCTCCTAAGATGTGCGCAAACCTGGTAGACAACTACAGGAAACGTCTGACCTCTGTGATTGCCAACAAGGGATTTGCCACCAAGTACTAAGCCAGGTTTTGTGAAAGGGATCAAATACTTATTTCCCTCATGAACATGCAAATCAGTGCATAATTTGTTAGACATGCATTTCTTTTGAATTTTTTGTTGCTATTCTGTCTCGGTGTTACAATACACCGAACATTCGATTCTTAGACTGATAATTTCTTTGTGAGTGGGCAAACATTCAAAATCAGCAGGGGATCAAATACTTATTTCCTTCACTGTACCCAGCTGGATATAGATGGGCAAAAAAACCCCAAAACTGTTATCTATTCTCTCAAAATTAAACAAAGTTTGAGCTTTAAATACACTTGCAGGTCCTATTTAAGTGTTCTTGCATGGCAGACCACTTACTGTTATCTCACATATATATTCTTATTATTATAGCCAAATTTACCACCCTAACTCCTCCCACAGTTTTTACACTACATAGACAGTAATATACCGAAACGTGCGGATTGTTCCCGATTGGTGTGCTATTACTTTGTGGAACGTTTTGCCAAATGGTTCACGAAATATCTGCGTTTTTGTGGCGCAATTGGTCCCATAGGAATGAATGGCGGAATGTTCAAAACTAGAGTGTGAGCTGACAAAAGCTAGAGTGGGAGCTGAAAAATCAGGACATGATTTCTAAACTGCCATCACTCCCTCATTTTCAAACCACTCCACCCAGTTACTCCGCCCACTCCAGTTGTAGACTACTGGTGGAGGCAAGAACACTTCACACAATTTCCCCAGAAATTGTAGCTTTTCTAGTTACACCATATAGTCATGTGCTGCAATGCAAATTTTTAGACATCAAAGCTGTTTCCATTAGACAACTCATCCTTTTTACAAGGATGAGTTCACCTTTGGGAACATGTAAAATGCACTTTTCTCCCCGACCTGCCACCTCTAGTAACAGTAAGCCAGGGATTTTTCTCTCTAAATTTGCTGTCACAATTTAACCACTTCAAGTCCGGACACATTCACCCCCTTCCAGTCCAGGCCAATTTTCAGCTTTCAGTGGTATCACACTATGAATGACAATTGTGCGGTCATGCAACACTGTATCCATATGAATATTTTAGCATTTTTTTGAGACAGATAAAACTTTATTTTGGTGATATTTATTCACCACTGGGATTTTTATTTTTTTGCTACATAAATGAAAGTCCAAACATTTTGAAAAAAAATTTTTCCTATAAAATATTGCAAATAAATAATCTTTCTTCATAAATTTTGGCCAAAATGTATTAATCTATCTTTTTAGTAAACAAAAAACCCAAATTAGTTATAACCAAAAATTATAATTTTTCAAAAATTAAATTTTTTTCTTTTTGTATTATTATTTATGTTTTCTTTTTTTTTTAACATACTGTCACCCTAGCAGTACAGTGTCACCATAGTGACACTGTACTACTTGTGGGGGGGGGTGATGAAGATTTTTTTAATTTTTTTACACTGATTGCTTTTACACCCATAAAGGCTGTAAAAGCAATAATTTCTCCTTCCCTCTGGCTGCATTCTTGCAGCCATTGAGAAATACTGTGAGAGCTGTGATTGGTCACGGCTTGTCACATGGTACAAGGCTGTTGTGAATAGCCTTGTACCATGTGACCTCTGTGATCATTCACAGATTTCACAAGTAGTAAGCAATGATGTCAGGAAGGAACATCTTGCTTACTACTATTCATGTGATCACCGATTGGCCAATCAGTGATCACATGAATTGGGACCTCACACAGAGGTCCCGTACAGCGATTGGTGTGTTCTGCTGTGTCCGGAGGACACAGCAGGCATCGGATTGCGGTGCCATGCGTGCACAGGCAGTGAATGCGGGGGGCAGTTTTAAAAACAGCCACCCGCTCCTGGTGGCCTGGGAAGTGGTTAAAAAAAAAAAGCAACCTTTGCGGGGTTCTGCTGATCGCAGGTGCAATGCTTTACAGGTTCCTAGTAAAAAAAAATAAAATAATAAATGCACATTTTTTTACCTGCAAAAAGATGTGCGTGTATTATTTTTATAAAGGTGAACTTATCCTTTAAATGAGCCATCAACTCTTGAATAAATAGGTTCTGTGTGATTTTTGTTAGCACAGCTCAATGCAAAGCACAGAGCATATTCATATCTGCGTTGCAGCACGCTGGAAATGTGCACTGAGGTGCAACTAACTTTTAATGGCAACACACATCTACAGTTTAATACAGTAATGCGCTATGGTGTGAACAAGTCCTAAACAGATGAGGTCATCAGATGATGTCAGTCACTGAACTCATATACTCTCTATAGTTGATCTTCCTCTCACCGATAAATTTTTCTAAGCAAGGCAGAACACAATTTTTGCTTGTGTAGCTTCTATATAACATTTAAAATTCCTTTACAACCGGTATCCACTACTCATACACAATCCAATCCCTGGGCGTCAGGATATCACTTTCTTCTCAGAAAGTTAAAAATCAAAAGTCTATATAACATTGCCAAATAAGTCACTGACCTTGAACAAGTAAGAATCACTGGCTGCTTACTAGGTCAGTCATATACCTTATAAAGTTGGCCATGGCAGCTCCCTCTGAGCATTCTAGTGTACATCATTTTATATATTCTGAAGAGGTCCTTTAGAGCCCAGTGGGAAAAAAAAAAAGTACGCTCTGAGATGCAAATTATGACCAGCTTTTGGGCTGGCTGCTGCCCACTTGCTATTGTGCCACATTACTGGTTAGTAGTCACCTTTTGCAGTGAATGGTCAATATTGACCATTCAGGATCTAGATCAGGAACTGGGTTTGGCAAATCTAGAGACTACAGAAGCTGATTGTTTTTTGAACATCAGGACATATTGCCATACTCTTGAGAAAGTTAGAAATAACATGCAGCAATGTTTCAGTGTTGTACCCAAAAGTACACTTTAACAAGCTAGGAGTGTACAGGGTCACTAAAATAAGGCTGCATATCCACACTATGGGGAATCAAGAGCTGACATTTTGCTGAACACGAGCGGCACCCCCCCACTTTGCAGACACTTGTACTTTGGTATGTACTACACTGAAGAGGACATTTGGCCTTGACTTTGATGTTTGCTGATTGAGGCACACTTGGCACCACAAGAGCAGCTGGTATCCTGTTCTTGTTAGTTTGATTGGAGTTGCCAAGATCAGTATAACTGAAGCTATGTGTGTGCCTACGCTAGCAGATCGCGCTCCATTCTCTCCATGCATAGTATCTATATACAGACAACTCGGTATATGTGGGGTTTCACACAAAGAGGGAAAACAAGCCATGACGACTATTGAGCAAAGACTGAAGTAGATGTAAACCCCCAACTGGATGGCATTTAGTTTGTTCACACTAATGTCATTTTTTTTGAATTGTCATTTTATAAAATGTATTTATTTCAGATATTTAAATGGCGCCGACAATTTACACATCGCTTTATATAATGTACATTCACATCAGTCTCTGCCCTCAAGGAGCTTACAATCTAAGGTCCCCATGTCACATCCATACTAGGGCCAATTTTAGACAGGAGCCAATCAACCTACCAGCATGTCCTTGGACTGCGGAAGGAAACTGGAATACCCAGAGGAAACTCACACACATACAGATTCCATGAAGGTAGTGTCTTGCTTGGGATTTGAACCGATAACCCCAGGGCTGTAATGCAGAAGTGGCAACCATTAAGCCACTATCCTGCCTTTTTTAAAGTGAAGGGAGTGATGGCCAAGAGGACCAAACTTCTTGGACTTTCTTTGGGTGACCCCTATGTTGATATGTTAGCTTTTCTCTCTCCAAAATGGCATGGACTGTATTGTGCCATTGCACAAAAGGTAGGAGGACCAACAGACAGCCAGCATGGTGCAATGAGCTTACGAGCAAGAAACGGTGGACGCACCAGCACCAACCAGGTGTTATTTTAGTAGTCTGTATATTTAAAAACAACTTTTGAAATTATATTACCATGTTAAAGTTTATATGGGATTTTAAACTGAGTTTAGATCAATTTAATTCACTACACAGATAAGCATTTGATTTTTTTCTTTCCTTTATACTTAAAGAATAACTCCAGCCAAAACGATTTTCCCCCTAATTTTAGGTAGAGTGCGTGGACACGAGGAGAAGTGAAAGGTCCCAAGTGGGGGCACAGTCAGCAAAAAAAAATACCCGAGAGAGTTTGCAATCCTTTCCCAAATGGTTGGCAAAGTCTAAAAGAAAATGTAGTTGTGTACATTTTGCATCTGATTACAAAGTAGAGGGAAGGGAAGGTCAATGTACAAGAACAGCAATCAATAACAGGGAACTGGTGAGCCTCCTCACTGTGATAGCAGCTGTCATTAATAACACCATCGAGGCATGATTCATTTACACAATTACATATATGTGCAGCAGTGCATAGGCATAAGATAACAGACATCCTCTGTATGATTTACACAGTACCTATGTCCATATACAAGAAAGGTATTGTCCACCATTTCTAAAAAGCATCTGCATATACTCACAGTGACCCAGCTGATCTGTGCTCCCAGGTCTCTAAAGTACAGAGTTGCTGTTGTTCCCACTGGCAAGTTTTGCAGAATGTCCTCATCTTTTAGAGATCTTCCCTCTGTCACATAGAGGTCATATAGAACATTTAACCCAGGAAGGTACTCCCAATAACATTCATAAAACATATACAGAAAAAAAAAAAAAATTAACCAAGACCCCAACACATTCGACAAATAGCAGTATGACATGTTACCTTACATCCCTCAAAAAAAAAAAAAAAAAGCAAGTGTGGTAGTTTTCCCTTAAGACCATGCTAAAAGAGAACTTTGGGATTTTTTTTATTTCTCTTTAAATTTACCTAGGTGGATGCAGCATCAATCTGCTGCTGCATCTGTACCACGCTGGCTCTAAAGCCGAGTCCTGAGTGATCAGACACCACTGATTGCTCAGTTCTCCCTGCTGCTCTGAGCAGAGAGTGGTGACTGTCAATCACTGCCGTCTACTCTGCCCCCTACTCACTGGAGCACTGGGCTGTGGAGGGGGTGGGAGCGGCTGTAGAAGGCTCTCAGTAGATCGCTGAAAGGCTGAGCTAGTTGCCGGTCCAGGAATCTGGGTGGATCCCAACTTCAAAGTCAGTATCTTTCCCCAGCCTAGACTGGCTGAGTGACGTCAGCCAACAGCAGACTTTAGCCCTGTGTCATCTGAAAATGGGTCACAGAAGTGCAGAACTAACTGCACTCCTGTGATTCACAGGGGAAATACAGCCAAACAAGCTTTGGCTGTACTTCTCCTTTAATTATGTTAACCGCTTGCCTTGTGGACACTTTCACCCCCTTGCTGCTCAGGCCAATTTTCAGCTTTCAGTACTGTTGCACTTTGAATGACAGTTGCTCGCTCATGCAACACTGTACCCAAACAAAATTTTTATCATTTTCTTGAGACAAATAGAGCTTTCTTTTGGTAGTATTTATTCACCACTGGGTTTTTATTTTTGGCTAAACAAATGGGAAAACAAATTAACAAATTTAAAAAAAAAAAAAAAAAATGTTTTCTTGTCAAAGTTTTGTAATTTTCTCCTTCACTGATGTGCACTGATGAAGCTGCACTGATGGGCACTGATAGCCAGCACTGATGTGTGGAACTGATGGGGAGGGACTGACAGGCATCACTGATGGGCACTGATTATCAGTGTAGATGTCCCCTGTTTAGATCAACATTTACCGGCTCTCCTCTCCTCACGCGCTGTCAGCAGGAAAAAAGGACTGCCGATAACTGGGATTTCCTGTTTATGCTGTGATCAGCTGTGATTGGATACAGCTGATCACATGGTAAAGGACTGCTCTCATTGGCCCTTTACCACGATCTGCGATCAGTTATGTCCAATCACAGCTGATGCACACCAAGCTGCCCTGGAAAAATGACAGGATTTCTTCAAGGTGAACTCCAGGCAGATAAAGAAGACACAATTTAGCGTAGCTCTGTATACATTATTACATTATTAGTCCTTGAAGCAGCTAAACACTTTTACAAGCGTCAAGAATTTTTATGCCAAAATGGTGCTGCTAGGAAGAAAGACATTTATGAGAGACAGAGAAATGTCTAGTGTGCATGAGGCCTTAAACGTACTTTGTGAACACATTATTATTTAGAAATCAAAATATATAAGAGTGTCTTGATGTCCTCCTATTGATGTCCTCCTATTGATGTCCTCCTATTTAATAGACAATTAAAACTATCCCTTTGCAATGTTTACAGCATCTGCTGCAAGCATAAAGATTACTTACTAGGGTCCAAACGCAATGACTGCCTGGCTGGGTACCACTCAGGATCTAAAAAAACACAACACAGTTTAGCACAAATGCAGTTTACATATCAAGCAGAGAGCAGGAATACAGAAACGCTAAATCGAATAGCAGTTGTTCATACTTAAATGGATTTGTTCTGTAATATTAACCGGTTCACCGCCACCCTTTAGCAGAACTACTGCTACAGGGTGGCAGGGATGCACAAAATCACGTATATATACGTGATTTTGCATTCCCGGGCAGGCCCTACCCGTGTCTACATTGGTGGCTACAGCTGATGATCACCGGGTCCTGGCCTGAGATTCCCCGCTGAGGAGCAGTGAAAGGGGAGAGGGCTGTTTGTAAACAGCACAGATCTCTCCCCTGTCAGCTCCAACATGCTGCTTTATATTGCTCTGCATAGCAGAGCAATACAAAGCAGCATGTTTCCCTAGTAAACCACACACAGCATACAGCTAACCCGTTGATCACCCCCAGATGTTAACACCTTCCTACTCAGTGTCATTAGTACAGTGTCAGTGCTTTTTATTAGCACTGATCACTGTATTTGTGTCACTGGGGATGTCATTGGCAGTTAGTCAGTTCCCCCCAGTGTCAGAATGGCCGCCACAGTCCCGCCATAAGCCGCTGATCACCGCCATTACTAGCATAAAAAATGTTTTTAAAAATCCCAGTATATATACCGTCATTTGTAGACGCTATAACTTTCACGTAAACCAATTACTTTACACATATTGGGATTTGTTTTAGCAAAGACATGTCGCAGAATATATTTTGGCCTAAATTTGACTTTTATATTTTTTTTCTGGATATTTTTATAGCAAAAAGTCAACAACATTGTTTTGGGTTTTTTTTCAAAATTGTCAGTCTTTGTTTATAGCGCAATTGTCAGTTAAAATAACCCAGTGCTGTATCACAAAAATTGTCTTGGTCAGGAAGGGGGGGATGTAAATCATCTAGAGGGCAAGTGTAACTATTCATCAAAGTAGCTTCTTCAGCTCAATTGATTAGAACCGAGGATGCCACTTGGACGAGGAGATAATATAATCATTACAGAACAAGCCAAGTTGAGTGTGACTAACTACTACTATACTGTATTATACCACAACCAGTACAAATAACCTTCATAGATCTATAGAAACACTAGTGTGGTGCTGGAGAAATAGTAACCCAGGGTCCAGGGTGACAGCTTTTTGCATTACAGGTGCTGCCACACTGCTGGGCATAATCAGTGAATAAGATGCTAAAAGGATAGGTTTTAGACATAATGAATAGTCATAGCCTTGGGCATCACTGCTGTCAAAAGGCACTCTCCCATTTTCCTATTCCCCCTCCAGTAAAGTTAAATGCATACAAACACAGGGTGACAGAGGCTCTAATGAGATCTGACCCACACTGGCAAGCAATGTGACCACAGCCCAATTTACAATGTATTGCTGCCAGGTCAGGTTCCAGGGTTAATCCTGCTATTTCATATCTGATTAAACAAACAGGTGGTGAGCTGTAATGGAGCAGCCTCCAGGCTATCATTTAAGTACCATTAACAGCTTTTAATTAGAGCAGGTTTTTTTTTCTTCTTTTTACAGGTCACCACGGGGGTCTTGATATGTAAGGATTAGCAGTACCCATTCTAAATACCTACGAGATTTGGTGAACAAGTTCTTTATGTCTGCAATGGTAGCATTGGGCTCCACCTGGAAAACAAATTGTAGCATTAGTCAATAATCTGTTATTTATTACAGGAACTTATATACTGTAGTGTCGTCAATTTATGCAGTGCTTTACATACAACATACATTCACATCAGTCCCTAACCCTCAAGGATCATACAATCTAAGGTCCCCAACTCACATTCACACATACATACTGGGGCCAATTTAGACAGGAGCCAATTAACCTACTGGCATGTCTTTGGAGTGTTGGAGGAAACCGGAGTACCCAGAAGAACCCCAAACAGGCACAGGGAGAACAGGAAAAATCCAGGCAGGTGGTGCTATGGTTGGGATTCGAACAAACGACCCTAGTACTGCCAGGTGGAAGTGCTAACAATTAGCCACTGTGCTGCCAATATATAGTAAATATATTTATATAGTAAAATGTATGCATGTTTTGTAAGTTTAAAACAGAGTTTCAGTTGTTTTTGTGTTTATTAAAAGTCAGCAGCTGCAAAAACTGTAGTTGCTGACTCTTAACATACACACTCAAACACTCACCTGTCCTAGGATCCAGCAATGTGCTCACCTGCTCCGTCCCTTCTCTCCCTCTTCTCTCCTTGGTGATAGCATCTCAACTGTGGGCACCCGGCTGTGACAGCTTGTGGCTTCACAACCTGGTGCCCACTGTGCATACATGAGTCACGCTGTGCCTCCAGATTGTTCGCCAGTCTTCTGGGATCTGTGTAGTGTTCACCCTCCCCCCCCCCAAAAAAAGGTGCCAAATGTGGCAAGGGGGGGGGTGTGGGGGGAGGAAGAACAGACAAGTGGATCTTCCCCTTTTGGATGGAGCTCTGCTTTAAGGTGAGGCAAGATCATTTTGCACCTGATTTTTGGACTGTGTAGAACAAGAACACAGTTTGTTGTACGGGACCTCTGTATGAGGTCCCGATCATGTGATCACTGATTGGCCAATCAGTGATCACATGAATAGTAGTGAGCAAGATGTCACTTCTGACATCATTGCTTAGTAGGTGTGAAATCTGTGAATGATCACAGAGATCACATGGTACAATGCTAGTCGCAACAGCCTTGTACCATGTGACAAGCTGTGACCAATCACAGCTCACACAGTATTTCTCAATGGCTGCAAGAACGCAGCCAGAGAAGGAGAAATTATAAAAAATAAAAAAAATCATCATCACCCCCCACAAGTAGTACAGTGTCACTATGGTGACACTGTACAGCTAGGGTGACAGTATGGTGTAAAAAAAAAAAAAAAAAAAATGTAAAAAAACTAATTTAGAAAAATTATAACAACGAATTTGGATTTTTTTTTTTACTAAAAAGATAACTGAATAAATTGTGGCCAAGATTTATGAAGAAAGATTATTTTTTTTGCAAAATTTTATAAGAAAAACACTTTTTTTCAAAATTTCTGGACATTTTCATTTATATAGCAAAAAAAATAAAAACCCCAGTGGTGAATAAATACCACCAAAATAAAGTTTTATCGGTCTCAACAAAATGCTAAACAATTCATATGGGTACAGTGTTGCATGACCGCGCAATTGTCAAAGTGCAATAGCACTGAAAGCTGAAAATTGGCCTGGGTAGGAAGGGGGTAAAAGTGTCCGGACTTAAAGTGGAAGAGTGCCTTGACTGAAAAAAGGTTGAGAAACACTGGTCTAGGGAAAAAAGGACAGAAAACACTGGTCTAGGGAAAAAAGGACAGAAAACACTGGTCTAGGGAAAAAAGGACAGAAAACACTGGTCTAGGGAAAAAGGACAGAAAACACTGGTCTGGGGAAAAAGGACAGAAAACACTGGTCTGGGGAAAAAGGACAGAAAACACTGGTCTGGGGAAAAAGGACAGAAAACACTGGTCTGGGGACAAAGGACAGAAAACACTGGTCTAGGGAAAAAAGGACAGAAAACACTGGTCTGGGGAAAAAGGACAGAAAACACTGGTCTGGGGAAAAAGGACAGAAAACACTGGTCTGGGGAAAAAAAGGACAGAAAACACTGGTCTGGGGAAAAAGGACAGAAAACACTGGTCTAGGGAAAAAGGACAGAAAACACTGGTATAGGGAAAAAGGACAGAAAACACTGGTCTAGGGAAAAGGAGATGAAAGTAAGGAGATATGTCCTAGAAAGATGTTTTTAAGACTGTATCTCTTACACTCTAAATCCTTAAGCAGTTAAATACAGCAGAGTTCTGCAATGTGGGCAGTGGGGGGCTGCAGGCTTGGCTCTTTGTTTGTTCTTTTTTAAGGGCTTGTTCACATCAAATATGTTGGGTAACACTGGGCTACTTGCCAAATGCCACTCCAGTGCATATACAATACAAGGCATGTTGCCTTGAGTCATATGACATGTGACACAAGGCATTTTGCCTTGAGTCATATGACATGTGAATTGTCACTTTGTTACGGTTCAATAAAGTTGAAAAATATCATACATTGGCATCACTCCCTTTACAGCACACACCAGCTGCCACTGTATAATATGGCCACTGAAATAAATTAAATAAAAAAAAAAAAAATTAAAAAAGCGACAGCCACTTTAATCCATTTTTATCAAGTGTACCTGTCATGATCAGGCAATATGCACATTTGTATTTGTAAATGGTACAAGCTGCTAGTAAATAGTGGCTCATTTTGGGGTTTATGTTCGGTCTGTGCTTAGCTGACAATTTTTGAGCCTTGTTGAGCCCAAATCTGTTTACAACAACTGGCATGCTGACTCCCCATACAGTGTACAACAAGCTAAAATGGATATGCGTGAAACATATGCCTGTAATGTATATCCTGCAGACTATACCTGTCATCCTGTAATTTATCTCCTAAAACACTCACTCTGAGCATGCAACAAGCTCTGCTCCGTACAAACAAGGAGATCAGAATGAATATTAACAACTGTACTTCTGTTTTTTTAATTATGTTAGACTTTAATTGATCCTTTTATTAATGAGGTGTTTTTCTTGCGGGGGGGGGGGGGGCTTTAAAGAACAAAGTGATTCTGGCAAGAAGGGCATTTTTATTTTTTTAATGATGATTGTTATTACTTACTAATCAGATACTACAAATGACTTGGGACAATGTGGTTCTCTGTCCCTTTACAGCAAGAGCAAAAGAAAAAAAACAAAAGTCAGATGATTAGGACACAACAGCCTTAGGCCTCATATACAATGGGCGTTTAACCCTGATGTATGAGATGCTGGCATTTCCATGCAGAAAGACGTCACAGGTGCACTGGGTGGTGCCAACATCTAGGGCAGTACAGTGAAGGAAATAAGTATTTGATCCCCTGCTGCTTTTGAATGCTTGCTCACTCACAAAGAAATGATCGGTCTAGAAATCGAATGGTAGGTGTATTGTAACACTGAGAGACAGAATAGCAACAAAAACTTCAAAAGAAATGCATGTCTAACAAATGATGACTGATTTGCATGTTCATGAGGGAAATAAGTATTTGATCCCCTTCAGAAAACATGACTTAGTACTTGGTGGCAAATCCCTTGTTGGCAATCACAGAGGTCAGACGTTTTCTGTAGTTGGCCACCAGGTTTGCACACATCTCAGGAGGGATTTTGGCCCACTCCTCTTGGCAGATCCTCTCCAAGTCTTTAACTGGCAATCTGGCGGCCGGCAAAATCCTTCAACGTTCCGGGTGGACGCCATATGGCGTCCTCCCGGGCATGCACAGTTCGTGCGCCTGCAGAGCCGCGCAGCGGCGCGATCTGTCACCAGCCGTGTACCTTGGACACGGCTGATGACAGTTCTGAGTACCAGCCCCGTTGCCGGTACCATGTGACCTGCTGTGACCAATCACAGCAGGTCACATGACAGTTGTATACAATCGATTGCTTCATTCATGCCATCCATTGTATACTAGTGTGGCTAGCTGTGAATGGTCACAGCGATCACATGCACAAGCTGGGCCAATCACAGCCCAGCTGTGTCATGTGATTAGCCGTGGCCAAATCACAGCTAAGCACAAAAAAAAAAAAAACCCTGAATGAATCGATGTCATTCAGGTAAATGCTTGCTTATAGCAAAGTAATTCTTTGCTATAAGCAAATTGTGTAAAAAAAAAAAAATACTGATCACTTCCCCAAAGTAGTACAATGTTACTATGGTAACATTATACTACTTTGGTCATAGTGAAATATAAAAAAAAAAAATCTTTAAAAAAAAGAAAAAAATGTAATAAAAAATTAACAAAAAAAAAAAATTATTATATATTTTTTTCATACTGTCACCAGTCAATGTCCCTGATCACCGCCATGCCAGTTATATGATGACGCTGTACTGCACTGGTGACAGTATGTAAAAAAAAAAAAAAGTGAAAATATTTTATTTAATTTTTTCATTTTCAGAAAAATTATGACAAAAAAAAGACAACTTCAAAAAACTCGCCATGTCTCTTATGAAGTACGTCGGACTGTCTACTCTGCAAAAAGGGGTCATTTGGGGATATCTGTACTATTCTGACATTCTTGGACCTCAAGAAATTAGATTGGCTGTCAGTACTTCAGGATTGATCAATATTCAGATCTATACCATAGTTTGTGAACTCTATAACATTCCTACAAACTAAATAATACATCCTAATTTGGGTTATTTTCACCAAAGACATGTAGCAGAATACATCTCGGCCTAAATTTATGATGAACAATTATTTATTTGCAAACTTTTATAACAGAAACAAAGAAAAACGTGTTTTTTTTTCAAAATTTTCAGTCTTTTTTTGTTAATTTAGCAAAAAATAAAAACCTCAGCGATGATTAAATACCACCAAAAGAAAGCTCTAGTTGTGTGAAGAAAATGATAAAATTTTAGTTTGGGGAAAAAAGTTGCATGACCGCGCAATTGTCATTCAAAGTGTGAGAGCGCTGAAACCTGAAAATTGGCCTGGGCAGGAAGGGGGTAAAAGTGCCTGGCATGGAAATAGTTAAGGTTTGGCGGCTGATGTTTGACAACTTGAACTTTCAGCTCCCTCCACAGATTTTCAATCGGATTAAGGTCTGGAGACTGCAT